CATAGCAGGGCTGTATCCTTGCTATTGAGCTTCTGCTGGAGCATTTTTGCAAACAGGATTGCTCCATGTTAAAGACCTTGGTGTTTACCTCAAAATAAGCTGCTGTTAGTACTCATTAATATGAAACTGGCAGGAGCAAAGTTGACTTTCACCCCCATCAGACTTCAGTGCTCCAAGCCCTGAATGCACTCTTACACGTTACCTGCATCACCCTCAAGCGCTGAGGTCAGTTTATGGTTATGAAAAACCTTATTTAATGGATGCTTCCAAACCAAATATTGGCAGAAGCATTTATCGTTGAGACTTTCCCAGTGTCTCACTGGCCATTTTTGAAAACTGAATTTTATGTGAGAATGTTTTCCTGTGTGATGTGTAATGCAGGACCTAAATTTCATACCAAACTAGGTATAGAAATGGTATTTTAATCCCTCAGATCCTATAACTGAGGCTGCATGCATACTCTAGGTAGTAAACCATGTTAAGTTTTAGTATTGGCTCCACTTCAAACTAAGTCAGCAAATACTTTGCTATTAAACCATGTATTTTCTGTGTTCTGTTTAGTTATTTTTAAAAGGAACATATAATTGCTGTTTTGGTAAAATTCTTACCACATGAAATTTGACTTCTATCAGTCCTGTTATTTTTATGAAAGACTCTGCTATATTAAATGTCCGGCATTGTCCCTGGGGAGCCAAACTAACAGTTACTGAATCTGGCTTCACAGATTTACTGTTTTCCTTTGACTTCCACTCTCTTGGGCAGTGGCAGACCCTCTTCAGGTAGCAGTGGCCGAAAGAGAACCTGTTAAAGTAACTGCTCCTGGTGATTTTGTTGTGCAATTTATTTCTTCTTTTCTGTGTGCTTTTTGATGGATCAGGGGTTTATAGAGCTTTCTAGAACTTTCTTTGTTTGCTGTCCCAAGATGATCTGTGCCTGTTAGTGTGTATCTGATGCTGAGAAAAAAAAAAAATCACTGCACTGCTGAAAAAAAATAATTGTTTGCTGTAGAAAGGGAAAATGTGATAATGGCTAAAATTCTAACAGTGACTTCTGGTACCTTGACGTGTTTGTCCTCAACCCCTGAGTCAAAGCAATTGTTCCACTTCCTTGCTGACTCCTGGTGAAGGGCTTCAGGGTGGCATTCTGTGATCCTTTAGTCTAGCCCTTGTTGGAAAGGATGTGCTTTTCAGTTTTGATACCGTTTTTATTACTGTGGAGAATGACGCACGGAAGAGTTCAGGCTGAGCCTCAGTCATTGGGTAGTGATGAATTTTCTTTGTTATTTTCAGTTATGACTACTAGTTTAACTTGAAATTCAAGAGACAGTCTAGGTTTTAATCTGGTCACACATCGGTTCATCTGTGAGCCAGATGCTTTGCTATGGAGGGAGTAGTCACAGCATTACGAGTTAAGTAAAAATAGCGTAAGAATCTGTTCTGCACCCATTTGAGTGGTACATCTTCTAGACTTGTTGAAGAAGCCACTCATGTTAAAACAATTTATAGATAATCTAGTGAAATTATGACTGGGTGGAAAAGAGAGGATACCTTCCTCCTGGCCTACAGAGCGCTGTGCTAAGGATAAGATCAAGTTTAGTGAAGAGTGTTTCTATTCCTTTAACTCTCTGGGGTTGCTGTTGTATTTGGTTAGTCTTCATGGGCTGTTTCTGCTCATGTTCTCAAGTAATTTCAGTTGAAAAATCTGAAGTCTTCTGTTCAGATGTCTGATGCTGTGCCCTCTTAGACCTTGAATGATTCATGAATTTTTCTGCACTTACAAAATGTCGATCCTGTGGTTTTATGATCTATAGGCTGGACCTTTCTGGTTTCTGAGGCCAGCTTGTCCACCTTTACAGTGGACTCTTACTGCTTTAGAAGACAAGCCTTTAACGGTTCCTGAACAGCAGATGCTTGTTCTTTAATGGCATCATGTCTTTCCTGGGAGATGTTACAGACCCTAAAAGGCTCAAAGCAATTTACTCACGATTTCTCAGAATCTTTATCTCACTGGAATACCTTGTTCTTTATTCAGAATCTAGTGACTGCTTATTAGTTGTGCTGAGCCCAGCCTATGGGATTACAGTGATGTTCAGATATGGTGAACATTCCTCATAGAACTGATACGACAGTGAGTTTCTACAGTTGAATTTGTACAAGTCCTTCCTGGGCATCTCTCTACTGCTAAGCTCTTGCCAGTGTTTCTCCCAGCTCTCCTGGGAGAGTATCTTCTGCATTTTGTAGCTGATGAGTTATTGTTCCTCTGGTTTGCTTGGCCTCAAATTAAAAAAAAAAAAAAAAAAGAAAAGCTGTTACTACTTTGGAAATAAAACATTTTTCATCATTTTGCTTTTCCTAAGCAAATCCAAACCTTTGCAGTATTGGTATGTTTAAGTCAGTGGAAAAAATTATTTAAAATTTGGAATGCAAGCTTCAAGCAGTCACATTCACTGGTTATAACCCCATTCAGCTCACTGACAAAGTGCTCCATTTGGAACTAATCAGAGCTTTGTGATTTTTTTTTTCTAGGCCAATTTGAATCTGCTTTCCTTTGATGTGTGGCTGAATCAGATAGTATATGAGTTCAGTCAGTCAAGACATATGGGCTAAATTAATCTTTACCAAATATATAAAAATTAAGTCTTTATGGAAGGAACCAGAGGTTAGGTATAAACAAAATGGGAACTTTAAACTGCACGTGATGCTTATTGTGAGGATGGTGGAGAGAAGGGAATACAAGATTGGAGGCAATATATTGTAGCAAACTGCTTGGTTAGAGATTTTTCTGAAACTATGTGGCTATGTTCTTACTCAGTTTCATGTACTGTAAGTGTTTACATTTGCTGACTGTTCTGAATATGTAGAACCTGGTTGTTCAGGATAACACAGTCTAGCCCGAATCTAATTTTCTAGCTTGCTGTGTTACTTGCTTGCTCTTATGACATCTCCCATAGCCATGAGGATGGTGGTGTCATTGCTCAGTCTGCTGGAACTTCCTCTCAGCAGCAATCCACTGGAGTGAGGGTTTAATCAGCTCCAGGAGAGAGACAGTGTGGGATAAGCTTGGGTAAAGACTGACTTTAGCAAGGAGACTTAAACTATTCTTCACCCTCCCCCCCAGCTTGATGTTTAATGGCTGCTCTTCCTGATGGGAAAGCTTGATACTAAGCTTTTGTTACTGCTGGAAAGCTGTGCTGAAGAAGCATACAAGTAAACTTTACTTTTTGATCAAAAAGTAAACTAACAGTGCTGAAAAGGAAAGCAGGTACTTGTAATCCTGCTTTCTTCTGACACTCATCTGTCCTCCTGGATTGATTTCTTTGCATGTATAAGCTTTCTTATGGATGTCAAGTATACCAGGCCTTTCACTTGTGCTACTGCTTTAAACTGCATATAAATCTATAAATGTCAGTCTTAAAATGGAGCTTACAATAGGTAATTTTAGAGTAAGGATGTGCTATTTTTGACTTGCATTGTGTATTCTGGCTGATGTCAGTGTTTAAGGCTAATGGTAGGGTGAGCAAAGTATTGTTTTAAGCTTAAATTGTGCTAGCGCACACCAGTCTCACATAAACAGGGTCTAAGAGAGCCTTTTTCCTTCCAGGGGCCTTTGGTCACTGGTATTGGTTACCATGAATAAAGGATAGCTTTCCTTGTGATGTTGTGACACAGGTTTTCTCCTGTGATTTGTGAAAGGCTAAAATCGATGCTAAATTCTAATTACAGCTCTCCATACCAGGATTTTGCATTGATTCAAAATGTGGCAATTGAAACTCAAGTGATGCATTAGTTAGTATGAGTGCTTTTGTTAGTCTTAACTACCACTTCAGAGCACACTCTCCTCTTTAAGACACTTAAACTCTTGTGTTCAGTACTGCTAATGTAACTGTTCATCCATTTCTCATTACCTAGAAAACAAGAGAGTAATTGCCTTGCCTATGAGGCAGGCGTTGAATGTTATGCTACAACTAATGGATGTGTTTTTGTTGTGAATGGTCTTGTGGACAGCAGCTTGTGGGCAGTGCTCAATTCTGCTTCTAATGACTTCTGGGCTTTTTCTGTAGCTTTAATGGCAAGAATAAGTTTTACTGTGCTAAATGCAGTTTAGAAGGTAGGTGAAGGCCATGAGGTCTGTGTTGACGATGCAGCCTTCTGCTTGGGCGTTTTTACTGTGCTGTTTTTCATTGAAATACAGTCACGATGGCAAGCTTTTAAATGACAAAGACAATTTTTTTATTTTTTTTTTCCCACTAAATTGGAATACATTCCTGTATTCTGCATGGAAATACTTTGAAACACCCAAAACAAGGAATTTGTTCACAACTTCCCATAGGCAGGTGACTTGGGAAGACAAATGCCATAACTCTGAATATCCCCTCCTTCTTTATCCCCCAGCTTTCATGATGCCATGGTGTATGGAATATCCCTTGGGCTCAGCTCTCCTGGCCGTGTCCCCTTCCAAGGACTTGTGCACCCCCAGCCTGCTCACTGGTGGGGTGAGGAGCAGAAAAGGCTCTGTGTAAGCACTGCTCAGCAGTAACTAAAACATCCTGTGTTACCAACACTGTTTCCAGCACAAACCCAAAACACAGCCCCATACCAGCTACTATGAAGGAAGTTAACTTTATCCCAGCCACAATCAGCACAATGACATAACATAAAAATGGGATAAGTTTTCTTCTTGAAGAGTTAAGAACTGCTGTATGGAGAGGGTAAGGGTCTTGCAATATCTCTTACAATTGACTGCTATGTGACTATTGTTTAAAAAAGAATTAAACTTTAAGTAGCTTTACAGATTAGCCAAGATAATCTAGATTTGTGAACAGCTGCGGACTGAAAAAACTTCTCTGAACTGTTACTTGTGGAGTATCAGTAGTAACACTCCTTGGTTTTAGAAGAAGCAAACTCCTGACTGCCATCAGAGTGGTTCTGCTCACTCTGGAGGAAGGTGTGATGTTTGCACATTCCCTCAGTTTATTTGATTGGACTTTTGTGTCTTTCCAGGTCACGCCAAGGTCCGAGACCCCCATCAACAGTGTCAGTAACAGTTTGGAAAATGTACTACATACATCAACACATTCCATTGAGGAGTCATTACCCAAGAGGCCTTCGGGGAAACACTCCAAAGGTGTGTCCTTTTCCGCATGCGCGCTTCCAATGGGGGAACAAACTCCTGTATCTTGGTGGTAATCGGTGTTACTTTAATTGTAATCAGAGACTGGAGTTTTGCTTCTTCGTGTCTGAGCAAAGGAAATCACAGAAGAGGTCTTGTAGTAAGGCCATCAGTGAAAAGTGGTCATCAGGAGACAAGTATGCTTATTTTTCTGTTGGGGAAATAAGCAAGAGCACTCCTTATGAGCTGAAATACCAGCTCAGCTCTCATGAAATATTATAGTCTCAGAGTGATTATCTCTGACACTCCACCTCTCATTCTTGTAGTAGCAGGTTATTTCTTGGATGAAGCATATGGTGTGTTGCTTTACTGGGGAGAAGAGAAGGCATTTTAAACAGTAGTTAGGCTTCTGCTTCCACCTTTCTCTTGGTTCCAGAATCTGAAAGTGAGAAGCTGGGGGAAGAGGAGTGGAAGACAGGAGACAAAACTTGCACCTTTGTCTTTCTCAGTGTGCACCCTTAATGTTGTTATAAAGTAAGTCTTGTTTTTGTATTGCTGACCTGGCTAAAAGCTGGGCTTAGCAAATTAGAGTTAACAAGTATGCATTCCATTTCCACACTTCAGGCTATGATTACAAATATTAAAATGTCGAGGTGAAAATGTGACTAACAGTAATTTTTTTTCATGCATACAAAAAGCACTGTTAAGTGAGGAAAGTCTTTGAACTGTGAGCTGCTGTTTGTAGTAGCAAATAGCTACTTTTCGTGGTATTGATAAAAATAGCTCTGTATGGCAGAG